TGAAGAAGAGTCATTCTTTTCCCTTGGAGGAGAGGTATTTTCTCGTTTTCCCATATTTCTCGTGATCCAGCGGTGATTTCTTGTCATCTGATGGATGATGGTGTGTTTCTTTCAAATTCTTGATGTTCAGTCAAAATGTTCAGGAGCAAGCAGAGGTGATCTAGAATCTTTGCCGTTCTGTTGTGATGGCTGGTGCAGCAGATTCAGTAGATATTGGGGAATGTTTTAACCCGCTAGCTCGTTTGTTGGAGGTTGAATTATCAGTAGAAAATCTTTATTCCCTGAAAAATCTAGTTCGCTGGCGCCATATGGAACCTTCTGCTGAAGACCTGGCTTCTTCTGCTGCTAGCTCGTTTTTTGGAGGCTGAATTATCAGTGGAAAATCTTCATTCCCTGAGAAATCTAGTTTGCTGGCGCCATGTGGAACCTTCTGCTGAAGGCCCGGCTTCTTCTCCATTTCTTGTTTCTTGTGTGTGATCCCCCCTAATTTCTCACCTTCTGCCATTTCCTAACCTCCTCCTACACTGTCTCTGGTATCTGCAGTTGATTCCCATTCCTTTTTTATTTTTTCCCTCATTTCATTGATTCACATAATATCTTAATCTAAATACTTTCAATAGCAAATTCAGCTGACATTTACCTAACTGTGAACACATGCTGACTTTAGGCATGAAATTCTGTAGAAAATTTTATTTTCTAAAGGGGTATGTGTTCCCTTCAGGGACTGCAGTGCTCCCCCACTACAATCCTTTCTCTTTCATTTTCCTCTCAGGATTTTGGGCATGTGTGCACATGTGTACTTACCAGAGAGAGAAAGAGGGAAACATAAAAGCACCACTGAGGGGGATGATCAAACTATAATCTCTTCTCCTTTATTTCTCTTCTCAGGATTTTGGACATGCATGCACACACACCCTGTATATTTTTAAAACTGTGTAGTTGGGGGACCAGCAGTTAGCGTAATGGCTATGTCGCTGGATTCCCACGTATTCGACTGGGGTTCACGTCCTGGATCCGGTGGCTTAAAACTCACGCCAGGCGCGTGTGAGTGCGTGCTCAAGATCCCGAGAGGAGGATAGAGGAGAAGGGATTGCGGCGTGGCCATCCCCCCGGGAGGTGATTTCTCACTTTCTGTCTCTCTCTGTCTGGCAAGTGCACACGCCCTATAGCAAAAACCTCTCCAAAAAAAAGAAAAACAAACAAACAAACAAACAAACAGTGTAGTTGGCCATGCTGCATCCAGCCATCTGAAGTTCTACACCATCCTCAGACAAGTTTGGCCCTCAGCTTTAATAAATATTGCCAAATAGTTTCCCAAAGCACTTGTAAAACTTCTTCAGCAGTGTACCAAAGTTACGATTTACTGCATTCTTTTATTTTTTTTTATCAGAGGTGAAACATTTTTATTTCACAGTAGTCTTTAAAATTGCAAAGACACTATTTTCTTCACATAAAAACATTAGTACACATAGCTATGCTTTCTAGAAAATGACTATATAGATCCTTTCAAAGAAAAATGCTCTCCATTATATCTCCGTGGTGAGGCTGCTTGGAAAAAAACCCACATCTTAACTGATCCCTACAACATACTATTCTAGCACTCTGTATCTTTTGGTTCGAAGTATAGATTACTATCATTATCACTGTAATCATAGGTTCCTGATTTCTTACATGCTTGAGAATATATATGTAGACAGGTTTATCACTCAATGTTCTATTGGTTCATTAGTCTTTCATGATGCAGGTTCATCAGCAGGCTGTGCAGGCTGTGCCTTTCTCTGTGATCTTTCTTCAAGGCCCTCCAGGAACAGTGACACATCATCATCATAGATCGTAAACTTCAAATCTTTATTGATAATTCCAATGGAAACATTCTTTGTAGTTAGGTCCTGCTCTGCAGGAAGAGCCTCTCTTAAGGCATACAGACCATGTTTAACCAGTTCATGCAAATTACAGTCTATAAACTCAGACATATGTCTCTCCAAGTAAGTACAAGCTGACTGAGAACAAGCTCCAATAGACATAGCTCTGTAGTCAAAATAGTTGGCCAATGGACGAGTTTGGAAAATGTGAGGGCCCATATCATCATTAACCAGCAATGAGCAGCCCAACACCATACAGTCTCCGGCCATATTGTTGTGTTGATATCTGGGTTTTGCTTCCAATTAGAGACACAGGCCGAGACAGAGGAAGTGGTCTATCAGAAACGAATTTGGAATCCAAACACTCTTGGCGCATAAAATTACCTAACAGTCTAGCATCTGTAGAAAGCCCCGCAATTGAGATAACAATATAGTTGTCAACCTGGAGAATTTTTTACTGATGAGCTGCAAGCTCTGACTGTGCTCTCTTCAGTGCAATCAACACTGCATGGGTCTTTGATTTCAGACCAACTGTGGCTGAACCCTGTTTAACAGCTTCCATAGCATATTCAATTTGATGAATCCTGCCCTCAGGGCTCCAAACAGTGACATCATTGACATACTGATTCAAAATATGGTTCCAGCACAGGCCTGGTTGCAGCCTACTGCACACCTTTGATTCAAGGAGTGTTGCCAAAACTAGTGCTCAGCGATCTACAGAGCCTGCATTCTTCTCAATACTTTTTATTTTTTACCTTTTTCATTTTGAGTCATTCTGATAGATATAACAAAAAAAATTATTAGATAATATGGAACTTTCAGATAATAGCTAATCTCTCATAGTAAAAGATTAAATAATGAATATATTCAGCCTTTAGAAAAAAATACGTATATATATTTATTTTTAAGAAAGATTTTTGCTATAAGGCATGTGTACTCACTCGAGAGACAGACCGAGAGATAGAGAGATAGAAAGCTAGAAATCACCCCCCCGGGGGAATGGGCACACTGCAATCCCTTCTTCTCTATTCTTCTCTTGGGGTTTTGGGCACATGCACACACAAGCCCAGAATGAGTTTTAAGCTGCCAAAACCAGGACTCACATCACAGTCAACTATGTGGTAGTCTTACGCCATCCAAAGAATATGGATATTAAAGTGCTATAAAAAACTAATTATACTAATGATAGGTAGAAGTAAACACCTACTAAAGAACATACCAAAAACAGTTCAATCATGGAGCCACCAAATAGTCCTTAAAAGTAGGGGAAAATATAAGAAAACACAGAAAGCAGATAGCATAGTAAGTGACAACTGTTCTGGAAACTAACCTATAGTGTGCGTTCTCTTACTAAAATGTTATGGTAGAGACTCTTCTATGGAAACAATGACTATTTTATTTCAGAAAAGTAAGTATCAGCAAATTTTTTTTCATCATTCCTGACAAAGCCAGGAGAGAATGAGAAAGAGAAAAGCAGCCTATACAGAATCTGGCCATGTAGCAATCCCTATACTCCAGTCCTTCAGTCTTCCTGATCTTAGGCACTAGCGTGCATGCCCAGCATGTTTAATCTGATCACAGTGGAGATTCAAACTGCAGATGCCATGCGGTATCCTGTTTTTTTCTGAGCAATGCATACTCTAATACCACAAAATCGAACAAATCAGTATTTTACTTTTAATAAAGATAACATCAAAATATATTCTGGTAAAATCTTAAACAGCTTTTCTATGTGTGACAGGGTGTATAATTTTGTATTTATACTCTGTAAGATACATTTAAGTAACTGCAGTATACAACTAAACCAGGTCATAAAATTTAAGTTAAAAAATACACACGCACACAGAATTGGTAATACTACCTTATATCTGATCTAATATTTAACTAAATAAAAAACAAAAACAAGTAAAACCCATAGTTTCACTTAAATTATTTTAAAAAAAAAATCTTGGCAAAAGGGAAAATCATGTTACTTCTATTTTATGTTATTGGAACTGTGATCTGGCCTCAGTCACAGCTTAGATTCCAAAAAATGAGGACCACATTGTGTAACTTATCACATAAAAAATAACCACTATAAACTTTAACAACCAAGTAAACCACAAACTATGTCTAAGATAATCTGTTGATAAGCCTCTTTCTTTCTAAATAATGTTTTAGCTTATTACTTCTCCAAAGTTCATTGGGTGAGATTTATATATGATCACTCCAACTAATGAACCATATGTATTTATTTATAAAATTCTGATTCTTATTAAGATGGATAAGTGATAACCACTGATAAAAACTGCATGATTTACTAGTTTATTAGCTTGGTAAAACTTTCTAGCATGTTTAAGTTACATCTACGTTTAGTATTTTACACTCAACAGAGTAAAAAACAGAGTTTATAAAACTTGCATACATTTACTTGAGTATATAATATATAAATTTTGAACACTTACAAAAATTTTAAAGTTTCTTTTTGTTTGTTTTATAAATTTGAGGCTGTGTGCCACACCACAATCCCTTATCCTCCATTTTCCTCTCAAAATTTTGCGAACACATGCACACATGCCTGGCATGTTTTCTAAGCTGCTGGGTCTTGGACTTAAACTGCTTACTTAGCCACATGGGATCCAGCTGCCTTAACTACTATACTCCTGGGTGGCCCTCTAAGTTTTAAATAATAATATATAAAAATAACTGAAGTATAAATAAAAGCGCTAAGAAATCATTAAAAAAAATGCTAAAGAAACGTTAGAAGGAGATGACCAGAATATTGAACAGAAACTTTCTGATGGCAAAGACTATTTTTACTGATGAGACAACAACAACAAAAAAAGACTCTAAATGAAAGAGTGAGTGTTGTAGAACTAAGTGAACATAAATATCACCTACAAATAACAGTTATCAGTGTGGAATACACAACACAGTTCAGTACTGCCACTTTGAATTTCTTTTAATCCCAGACAACTCTAAATTGTTCTTTCAAGAAATTAATAATTAGACTTGTTAAGTATTCTATTTGAATAGAGTGGGAGTGCTGCATTACCAGGAAACACAGAATAAGTTAATAGTATGTGAATAAAAACTAAGGTTTTTAGTCTAATGCTTATTAAGCCAAGTCACAACAAAAATAAAAGGCTAAAAACTCACTCACTGTCTTCTGTGGGAAGAACTTGCAGGGAGTAAATCCACTCTATTATATCATCTTTCTTCACCACATCTAAGGAATCCAACATATCCAGCCCAGAGAGTGCAAAAAATGCAATTGTCAACCTATAAGAAAAACAAAAACAAAAACAAAACAAACAGAAAACTCCATCTTAATTATCAAAGAACTGTAATCTTCCTGGTTCAGAAAAATAACAAACTCATTGTACTTTTATAATACTTTAGACTTCCATTTTGTAAAAGCCTAAAAAGCCAACTGGCTAATTTTATATTATCAATGAAATCTTTTTATTCTGGGGGTAGGGGTGAGCCCATGACCAAGTGGTTAAGGAAATCAGATCCTACATAGTTTGAATTGTAAACCTGGTGGTTTGAAAGACATGCTGGGTGCGTGTACACATGTGTCTAAAATCCCAATAGGATGGAGAAAGGAAAAAGGGATTGCAGTGTGACCACATTCCATGGGGAGTGCTTTTTCTCTCTCTCACTAGCAAGCACATGCACTCCCTGACAATTAAAATAATAGTAATAATAATAAACCTTAAAAATTTTGTTCTTTAAAAAAAGATATTTAGGGACCAGCAGTTAGCATAATGGCTATGTCGCTGAACTCCCATGTAGTCGACCACAGTTCAAGTCCTGGACCCGGTGGTTTAAACTCACGCTGGGTGCTTGTGCGTGCAAGCCCAAGATCCCAAGAGGAGAATGGAGGAGAAGGGATTGTGGTTTGGCCATCCCCCTTGGGGGGTGATTTCTTGCTTTCTGCCTCTCTCTGTCTCTCTGGCAAGCACACGCGTCCTGTAGTAAAAACCTCTCTTAAGGGAAAAAAAAAAAGGAAAAGAAAAAGAAAAAGAAAAAAAGGATACCAACTTTAATGGTGCCAACACATGGCGTAGATATTAAGGCACTGGATCTCACATGACTGACTCTGTGGTTCAAGTTCCAGATACAGTGGCTTGAATATCAAACCAGGTGCTTCTGTGGGTGCCTAAAATCCCAACAGGAGACTGGAGAAGGGGCTGAGGCATGGCCATCCCCCTTGTGGGAGGGTATTTCTCATGCCCCAAACCCCAGCCATCTTTCTCTAGTGAGTATAAGTGCCCTACCACAAAAACTTAAATAATAATAATAATAATAAAGAAAAAAATCTTATTTACTCAAATCATACATTAATCCACTAAAGCTAGTATTAACCTGAAGGTAAAACTAAACTTTAAAAAACTTCCCTGCACCTAATTGGTACATACTATAAGCACGAACATCTGGGAAATAAATAAAAATATCAATTTTCACTAATTTGCCATCAGCAATTATGTTTATGGTTTGTGCTTAATTCCTTTTTTTTTTTTTTAAGAGGTTTCTGCCTTAGGGTACATATACTCATTTGGAAAGACAGAGACAGTGAGAAGAAAAGTGGGAAATCATAGCCCCCCCTCCCTGAGGCAGTGGAGATCGCCATGCCACAATCCCTTCTCCATTCTCCTCTCAGGATCTTAGGTATGCATGGACATACACTTGGCATGATTTTCAAGCCACTGGGTCCAGGACTCAAACCACACTCAGCCCTGTAGGAGTCCAGTAATATAACCACTATACTATCTGCTGGGCCCAGTTTGTGCTTAATTCTTGGGTAATGTCAGAATAATTTTTTTTTTTTTAGAGACAGATTTTTGTTATAGGGTACATGTGATGGCTGGAGAGACAGACAGAGACAAAGAGACAGAAAGAGAGAAATCACCTCCCAGAGGGGGTGTCCATGCCGCAATCCCGTCTCCACTCTCCTCTCAGGATCTTAGGCATGCACATACATGTGCCCAGTCTGAGTTTTAAGCTGCTGGGTCCAGAACTTGAACCACAGTCGGCTTCATGGGAGTCCAGCAACACGACCATTATACCATCTACTGGTCCCAGAATAAAATATATTTTTATTCAAATATGTTTACAAATAATGTAACTCCTTAGAAAAAACTTATAGTAAATTTTGGAAAATATGTAACACTTTAAGAAATAAATACAAATGCATTTCAACTCTGTTTTTCTAGAGTGGAATATTCTTTGATGAACTGGAAAACTTGAAGGCAACACCCTCCCTCTCTAAGACTCTATCAAATAAAAAACCTAAACTTCTGCTTTCATGTAAAAATCAGTTTTGTTTTTGTTTGAGCCTATGTGTGCACATGTGGAACAAAGATGGAGAAAGAGAAGGGCATCCTTCACAGGGTCTGGACACACCAATCCCTCTCCTCCAGCCTACTAAATTCTGGACAATCGCTGTGTACTCAGCATGTTTCAGCCTGACTGGGTTGAAGATCCAAACCATGGTTGCCATGTGAGATCTGGCTTCTCTAGAGCACCACACTAACTCTGAGCTATGAAATAGGTCTTATAGTTGCTTTTAACACAAACAGTCTGTCATATATCATTCCTTTCATGGTATAATGTTGCTTGATGAAGCACTGTTATCTCACTTCCATAGTCTAATAATTCTTAAGACTAATAGTAGTAAATTAACACTTTAATTATCCAGTCTAAAATCTTACAGCAGAGCCACTTGATGCATTCTGCAATCTTACCAGTGAAGGCCCTAGAATTAAGCCTTAGTGCCTAAAAAGTCATCATTATATGAAATAAATTCACTTCTCTCTAGAGAAGTTACTAATATTAGACTAGTATTATCTAGAATGGTATTACCACTTTAGGAGAAAAGGGGAAATATTCATCTCTTTTTTTAGGGTATAATTCTTTCTCTGATCCCCAGTAGAAATAAGGTTGGCATCCACTACATACCAAGAGGAAATGTCAGAGAGTAATTTAATTCCAATTGAAGTTGAAGGGCAAAAATGAAAGTGAAGATGATCCTGGTACATTGATAATAAATAAGTATTTGAGAAACATCATTTAAAGACTATTACCATGTCACAAAGCTATAACTATGACAACAGGAAAATTTCTTATATGTTACTTCCATTTAAGTCTTTTTTTAAATTAATTTATTTTTGTATATACATTCAATCACACTGTTTAGCTTACAATGTGAGCATTTCAATATGTGAACATTTCTCCCTAGTCCCGTTAATCAAAATATCTTCAACTGATAACACCACACTTCCCCATCCCGTTAATTCTCTACTTCCATATCCCTTCTCCAAATGTCCTTCGTTAGGGCCCAGTCCTCCACATATACCTCATCTGACATGCACACCCATCTCTTGTGTTTGTTCAGCCGTTAGTCAATCAGTTTCAGTTATAGAGTGCAGACATTCGGTATATGTTAAGTGGGGACATACAATGTCTCTCCTTCATAGCCTGGCTTGCCTCACTCAACAAATCTTCCATATTCTTCCACTTTCTGTCAAAAGCCAGGGTTCTGTTGGTTTTTATGGCTGAGTAGCATTCCATGGAGTACACGTGCCACAGTTTTTCAATCCATTCCTCCATACGGGGACATTTGGGTTGGTTCCATGACGTCGCAATTGTGAATAGTGCCGCAATAAACATTGATGTGCAAGCACTTTTCCTATGAAGAATTCTTCTGTCCTTTGGGTAGATACCAAGGAATGGGATTGCTGGATCATATGGTAGTTCTATTTGTAGATTTTTGAGGAATCTCCAAATTGTTCTTCACAGTGGCATGACCCAATTTACATTCCCACCAGCAGTGTGAAAGAGTTCCCCTTTCACCACACCCCCGCCAATACTTATCATTTTTTGTTTTTTTAATATTAGACATTTTGACTGGGGTTAGGTGGTACCTCATTGTTGTTTTTATCTGCATTTCCCTTACGATGAGGGATATTGAACATTTTTTCATATGCCTTTTGGCTATTCGTATGTCATCTTTAGAGACATCTTTTCAACTCCTTCTCCCATCTTTTAATAGAGTTGATCATCTTTTTTCCAAACAGCTTCTTTAGTTCCTTGTGTATTCTGGTTATCACTTCCATTTAATTCTAACAATTTGCTAAGATCCCCCTGGATTAGGGAGGTGATATATCTGGAAAAGAACAATGTTAAAGTAAGGGCAATGGAACCCCTTTTAGGTGGGAGGTGGTATTGCTTAGTTCAGAACTCAAGACTACAGTCAAATTCTGCATCAGTCAATTTCCAGTCACATGATTCTGGGTAGGATACCTAACCTTCCCTAAGTCTCCCCTTCCAATAGTATGTAAATCATAGCCACACTCAGTTATGGTGCTTGCCTGCACACAAAAAGCACTCAGCAAATAAAAGTTATTATTATAGTGTTTGCCCTGATTTGAAGGAGTAGAAGTAACACGACCTAAGAGCAAATTACACTCTATTACACCATAAGTCTTTTCTCCAGGCCCTTGTTTAGCAACTGTTTTTCCAAAGGAATGCTCTTCTCCAAAACAAAATGATACTGTAGATATGGAAAAAAATCTCTACACAACAGCAGACAAATTTGAAAATCATTGTTCTCAGTGGCATATATGTCTCATGAAGAAAAAGTCTGTTTTGTTCCTGGTATGCACAAATATTCATTGGATCAACTAACAGAAAAAAAGCCCTGTAATACTATTTATACATCTAACCCTCAAGAACAGCTCTAGGAAGGCTTTAAGTTCTGGTATAATCCATAAAACAAATGATTAAATTTATAGTTAGATAAAATTAAGTATCTAATCCTTTAGTTTATTAAAGCATTATTAGAGACTAAAGTAAAAGGAAGACAGAGACAAAAGTGTAGAAACACATGAAGGACTTGAGATCGGATATTAAAGAACTTCGGAAATTATCTAGCTTGTCACTTTGTGGTGTGCTCTTCCTCAGGGGTGCTTCTCAAACCTGGTTGGGCATTAGAAACACATGAAAAACAAATGACTAAAACACCACACCACCAGCATAAACTACAAAGGCCCAGGGCCTGCTTCACAACAATAAAATATCTGTGTGGAAGGTAAGGTCTAGGCACCTGACTGTTTATCTCCCTCTAAACTTCCCAGGTGATTTTAAAGTGCAGCCAGGCTTCAGAGGTTCTCTAAGTATAACACTGCCCCAAGGGGACACATGATAACCAAACACTGTTGGGTGTCACCACTGTGGGAGGGTGCTAATGGCATCTAGTGGGTAAGTGCCAGGATGCT